AAGCAGTGATAGTGAAGACAAAGATAAACAGCTGGGACTACATCAAATTACAGAGCTTGAGAAGCTTCTGAAGCTTGCACATGACACTAATGATAAAGGACTGATCACAAAAATCTAATAAAAGCTGATGAGACTCAACAAAAACAAAGAAAATAATCCAGTCAAAAAATGGGCAGAAGAGCTATAAAGAAACTTCTCCAAAGAGGAAATGCAAATGGCCAACAGGCATATGAAAAAATGTTCAACATCACTTGTAATCAGGGAAATGCAAATCAAAACTATAATGAGATACCATCTTACACCAGGGAGAATGGCACATATTTAAAAAACTAGCAACAACAAATGTTGGGGAGGATGTGGAATAAAAGGAAATCTCATGCACTGCTCATGGAAGTGCAAACTGGTCCAATCACTATGGAGAGCTGTGTGGAGATTCCTCAACCTACTAAAGATAGAGCTTCCATATGATCCAGCAATTCCACTCCTAAGTATTTACCCAAAGGACACAGAAACATTAATTCCAAGGGCACCTGCACGCCTGTGTTTATAGCAGCACTATTTACAATAGCTAAGCTATAGAAACAACCCAAATGCCCAAAAATAGATGACTGGATCAAGAAGATGTGGTACATATACACAATGGAATATTACTCAGCAACCAAAAAGATAAACACATGCAGTTTGCAGCAACATAGATGGAGCTAGAAAGGATCATGCTCAGCAAAATAAGTCAGAAACAAAAAGAATACCAGATGGTCTCACTCATAGCAGAAATTTAGAAAACCTAAATAAGGGACCAGGAAAAAGACTAATTTTTTAAAAGATTTATTTATTTATTTATACAGGCACTGGGTATAGTCAGAAGTGTGGGAGGGTGAGAGAATTCACCAGAGCCAGAGCTGGGAGCAGAACAGACAGACTGATTAAGTACACTGCTGAGGGGAGCAGTGGGCAGCAGGAGAGGTCTGTGCTCCATGTGTGACTCTCACCTGGCGGCTGGGAATCGAACTGGCGCTGCAGAGGCTGCGGGCAGCTTCACAGCCCAGCGCTCAACTGCTGCGCCACCAGGGGAGGCCCGGAAAAAGACTAATTAATACAAAGTAAAAATCAAAATCAACAAGCAACTATAAACCAGAGACACACTATGGGTTGGGGGCGGTCAGGGGGATGAGGAGAGGAAGGATTAGAGTCAAAATAAGGGGGGTGTGCAATTGTATGGGGAATATAACCAAAATGAAAATGCATACATTGTGCAAAAATGAAAAATGATGTAAGAATTATATAAAATAAAATATTAAAAAAATGATTTAAAACTTTATTAATGGTTACATTTTTGAATATATTAAAATCATTGAATTGTACACTTCAAGTAGATGCATAGTATGGTATATGAATTACATCTCAGAAAATTTGCTTAAATTTGTTAATTAAATTAGCAAAGAGTTTTTCAATGTTCATATGATCTCTGTTCCAGTGTAACTATTATTCAGCAATTGTTATAACCCCAAACCTAACTAATACAAAATGATTGGGTCCAAAGCTTCCCAGTGGACTAGGAGAAGATATGTTTGGGAGAATGAAAAGATTAGGGATGTTGAGGACAAGAAGAGTGAGTGCCGATTTGCTCCCACCAGCATCATAGATATGAGCACAAATATTGAATGCATTTTATTATTATTATTATTATTTTAAAGATTTATTTATTTATGCACACATGAGCTGAGATACAGGCCAGAGATGCGGGGCTTGAGAGGATTCACCAGAGACAGAGTGGGGAACAGAACAGGCAGACTGACTGAAATACACTGCCGAGGGGAGTAGCGGGCAAGACAGGAGAGGTCTGCCTCCCATGTGGATTGCTCCCTGGCTGGCTGGGGATCAAACTTGTGCTGTAGAGGCTGTGGATTGCTTCACAGTGCAGTGCTTAACCCCTTGCACCACCAGGGAGGCCCTGCATTTATTTTCTAAGACAAAGATGGAGCATATGTAGCTTGGAGTATCGTTTAACAAGAGGTAGTTGTTTTGTTTTATTACGTTTAACAGAGTAGGATAGACAATGTTTTATGTTCAGAGTATCAAAACATCTAGAGATGGAAATAGTTGGTCTTGGCATTTATGGGTATTTATGAAGGGAAATATTAGAATATGCTGTTTGGGCATGGTATGGAGACTCATCAAATTGAATAATATTGGAGCAGATTACTGTTCAATGGTTCAATTCCAAGTTAGTGGGATACCATGCATCAATTACCAATCTCAAGGGAGTACTCTATACACATCTGTCCATTACAAATTGATACCAAAGTCAACTGAAAAACAAAACAGTCAAACCTGGATGGGTAACTTTAGCTAGAGAAAAAAAAAAAATAGGAAGGTCTGCTGTAATGACTTGTATCAGTCCCCCACATCCACCAGATCTCTTCTGGTGACCAATGAGGGAAATTTGACTGCACACACCCCTCCTGAACTACACAGAAGGATCCTGGCACCTTCACATGGAGGAGAGATACTACAGTGGTGTTGCACAGGTGACATATTTATACATGCTTCAACCAAAGATAAAAGAACATGATTGGTTTCTGAAACACAAAATAGTCCCACATGGGTGATAAGCCTGAAATAGGCTATCTGAGCTCTTTATCTCTTGGTTAGGAAGTGTTCCAGTCCTGAGATCCATACTTATTTGTGTGAGTAAGGAATATGCTGAAATGCATGAGATTGATTTGCCCAACCATTCATCACTATACCTGTCTTTGGCCACTAAAGGAGCAGTAAAGTATATTAAATCCCACATGATCATCACTCATCTCAAATTTAAAATTGGGTCCAGGGATGGCTCCCTGGTGGCTCAAGGGTTTAAGATGCAATCTACAAAGCTATCTGCAGCCACTTCACGAGTTCGATCACCAGCCAGGCATCCACTCACATGGTGCAGCAGACTTCTGACTTGCCTGCTGCTCCCCTCAGCAGTGTATTTCAGTCCATCTGCCTGTTCTGTTCCCCACTATGTCTCTGGTGAAGCCTTTCACCCCCACCCCACACCTCTGGCCTGTACCCCAGTTCTTCTATGCATAAATAAATAAATCTTTAAAAAAATAAAATTGGGTCCATTGGCCCTCTTTGGCAATCCATACAGGACCCCTTCAAACATCTTGACTGGTGCTTCATATCTTCAGTCTTTAGCCATCACTCTGAGAATGATAAGCAATGATAATAACACCTATCATTACTGACTACATTGTGTCTGCTGAGCAACACAACTAACAAGCTCTTCTTGAGTTACCTCAGTTATAATCAGCATGCTTGAAGGACTAATTCCTGTTTTAAAGCTAAAGATAATGAGATTCAAATGTATTAGATAACTTAACAAGGAAGGAAAAAATTACTAAGAATACCAATTGGCTACCTAGAAAAAAAATCTGTCAACGAAAGAAATAAAGATGTTTTCTGACATAGAAAATCCCTCAGGCCATCAGTAACCAAACCAATAAAGATTATATATATCAGGAAGAGGAAATGTGACCATAAAAGGAATCATGACAGGGCCTCCCCTGGTGGTGCAGTGGTTGAGCACTGGGCTGCGAGGCTGCCCGCAGCCTCTGCAGCACCGGTTCAATCCCTGGCCACTGGCAAGGGTCCCACATGGCACGACAGACCTCTCCTGCCGCGCCTGCTGCTCCCCTCAGCAATGTATTTCATCAGTCTGCCTGTTCTGTTCCCCACTCTGGCTCTGGTGAATTCTCTCACCCTCCTGCGCTTCTGACTGTACCCAGTGCTTGTATGAAAAAATAAATAAATCTTAAAAAAAAAAAAAAAAGGAATCATGACAAAAAAAGAAAAGTATATAGCATATATAAATTGGTATTAGATCTAAACAGGAGACATAAAAGCACATTAAAACTCAAATTCTAGATGAACCTCACATGAAAAATAAAGGTGTTTTAATTATTAATGACCTATTTTAAGGGAAGATAGAAAAACTATAAATTTTCTATTTTTGTTTAACATCACTCCTAGAAACTGATGAATCTATCAAACAAAAGTAAGTAATGAACAGGATTTCATTAGTTATAGTATAATATATTACATTTATTATATAGTCTAATGATACTAATATAAATATCACTGTATAATAATATGACACCATACAGAGGCAAATAGACAAACACAGTAAGCACTAAGTTATGCTAGAGTAATGATGCTGAAAACAGTCCTTGATGGCATGATCCCTCAATTTGCAGCTGAATTTTTATGAATCAATTTCAAACACATATAGATCAGCAAGTGAGACTGTCATTTTCCTCATATGCAACTCTGTATGAACATGAAGCAAAGACAAGAGTGAAGGTTGGAAGTGGATTATCTCATTTAAGCACATACCTAATTAATTTAAATAATATTTTTGGAACCTAGAAGAATAGTGTAAGGAAAATTAGTTGAAAACCAGGCAATTTTTCACCTTGCACACAGCAGACAGCCCATAACTTTCAAGTGCTATGTTTTCTACCTTTATGACACCCAGCAAATAGCAGATGACCCTTGCTTTCACAGCCGAGGTCCAGTGTGTGACTCCGGACACTTAACAGTGTAGAGAAGGGCCTGGGAGTTCACTTGCTGTCATGTATCTCAGTCTCTCTCAGTCTTTCTCTGCCTGACTGTGAATATGGTCCCTGTTTTAACATTAAGAGCCTGTAAAATCCACCGAAGCCTCCAAAATTCTTTTATTCTGTGAGAACTGACAATGAACCTACCCAGCCTGGGATTATTGCGCGACAAGTAGAATACCAAGAGAGTAATTCACTACTACTAAGTGGGTTTTACTGTGTCTCTGAGGGAAAAATAGTGAATAATTACAAGTCTTCATTAAATCTCTGATTGACTTTAAAATACAAACAAATACCAGTAAAATGAAAATGAGACTACATCACTAACAGGAAAGATCTTTCTCTCTTCACTTGAAACTCACTTCAAAAGGAAAGCAATCACTGTCTATCTTTTGTCACACACAGCATTTTAATAAAGTAAAATATTGGTACATTTTAATGTTTCAAGAACTCAGAGAAAATATTACAGAAACTGCAAAAGGATAGTAATAAAGTGTCATGCTCCATGTTGTCAGCATCGCCTTCTCTGTTTTTCATAGTGTTTTTGAGGATGTCCTTTTTGACTCCTCACTTTCTCTACCTCACTTGCAAGGCTATCGGCAATCAATGCTCTTGCCAGTCTCTCTCTTGCCATCTTCACTTTCCTTTCCTGTGTCCTGATGTCTTCCTCAGTTACCAGTTGTCTGCAGGAGAGCTGTGGGATTCCCAGACCAGACCCTGAAATCACCCTTCCCAAATCTGAAGGCAGGACAGGGGTGGGCACAGGGCAGGAGTGCAGACTACTGGCAAGAACACCAGACAGGGATTCACCTCTCCGAGTAGGCAAAAGTTGTTGGAAGGTTTTGATAAGATCTAAAGTACTTAACTCTTCTCCTGTGCTGCTATAGGCCTGCAATCCTTGTAGTCGCTTCTGCCACCAAAACTGTTGCGGTTTGTCCAAGGTTTCTTCCCAGTGATGGTATCTGACCTCATTGTCAGGATAAGATGTGATACTAGTAACTGGTCTCTTGCATATGTAACTGGACATCCTCAAGGGGATGGAGAAGTTTAAATAAGACTTTATTTTGGAATGTTTTCCATAGTCATGAGGCTTTCTCTGTGAAGTCTTGACCATCCTCCTCCCTTTCCTTTAACCTATCAAAATAAATTGTGAAATTGTATCAACAAGGAATGAAGCCTACTTTCTGAGGACAACTATTTAAGTTGTCTTGTGATTATAACCTCCTGTCCCTCTGGGGGTGGATCTGTACATGATCACATGGATTTGGGTCAAAAACATTAAAGCTCAAGGACAAAACTCAAGACCTACCCCAACTGATTTCTCCTGCCTATCTCAAAGGCCCCCTTGTTTATGTATATGATTTTATTCCCTTTTTGTCCTTGTCCTCTCATTTGCACAAGTCCTGGTACTCCCTCTCGTGACACATCGCTCCCAGTCTTTTTACAGCTCCAGTTCCTACAATTCTGCTCTCTTCTCTGACTATTCACTTGGTTAACCTATTGACCACTTCATTTGCACAACTCCTTTAGGGTCTGAATCAACAGTGAAGTTATCCACCGCTCCACTGTTGGTGATCCATTTCCTTACCCTAAACATTTCTATCAACCCAAGTGTTCATGCTTAAAAATAAATAATTCAGAAAACGGGTTTACATACCCTGTTTCTGATTTTAAATATTGCGTTATTCAAATACTCACCCGATAGATACCTGTTCTCAAGACTAGACATTGTGCCAGATCACCATGGGCTTATTTTCTTTTCTTCCTTCTTATTCCTATGAATCCTGCGTTCCATGCACTATGATGTCAACAATTCCCTTGGAACAACATACAATTCAACACTACTCATCAGATCTACTTTGTGAAAATTCAAATCCAAAAGGTCCCAATAATCTGCCCCACTATATCTACTGTGTTCTTTTTTCATTTTTTGAAAGATTTATTTTTATTTATTGATGCATACAAGAACTGAGGTGTAGGCCAGAGGTGTGTATTGGCGGGGGCAGTGAGAGGATTCTCCAGAGACAAAGTGGGGAGCAGAACAGGCAGAGCTACTGAAATACACTGCTGAGAGGAGCAGAGGGCAAGACTGAAGAGGTCTGCTGCGCCATCTAGGCCAGCTCCCTGGCCAGGGATGGAACTCATGCTGCAGTGGCTGGTGATAGCTTGATAGCATTGAGACTTTAACCCCTGTGTCACCAGGGAGACCCAGCTGCTGTAGTTTTATAACTGCTGAGGAAAGAACACACAGTATCTGCATCAACTGGGAAGACTTATACAGTGCCTGAATATTTAACTTCTGTTCAAGTGCTGGCGTATTTGTTCTTTGATTTTTCATCCTTTGCTACTTACCTGATATTTCACAAATTGCTAATCACTAGATTAAACTTTGATCTATGTAGTTGTCAAATTTGCTAATATCTCTGATTAGCTTTTATTTTTTCCAAATTTTCTCTGATTATTTTAAAAAACATTCATATTATTATTAATATTATTATTCATATTATTGATTTGGACCTCTTTTATTAGTAACCAACTCCATGCCCCAGTGCTCTGCAGAGCCCCTGAACTGTGTGATTCTCTTTTCTGCTGAATCTTTCCTTCTATACTTTATTTATTTATTTATTTTAATGGAAGGTTTGTGGGTTTTTTAAGATTTATTTATTTTTATACAAGAACTGGGGTATAAGTCAGAGGCATGGGAGGGTGAGAGGATTCACCAGACAGAGCGGGGAGCAGAACAGACAGACAGACGAAAAGCACTGCTGAGGGGAGCAGGGGGTGAGACAGGAAAGGTCTGCCGCACCATGTGGGAATCTCCTTGGCCGGCCAGGAATCAAACCTGTGCTGCAGAAGCTGCGGACAGCCTCACAGTGCGGCACTCAACCCGATGTGCCACTGGGGAGGCCCCTCCTTCTATACTTTAATGTCTTTTAATATCTCTTAATTGCACAGACATCACTCACTTGATCTCCCTGAAGCCCTCTTCAACCACTGCTCTTTCTACATTTTCCCCTTAGTTGTGAAACATTGACAAAAGGCCATCTACCTCAGATGTCTCTGTGGTTTCATCTCCAACAACCTCCTTAGTCCAATCCGTATTCCATCTGCCTTCATCTTCTATGGTGTTTTCTGTGGACAGGTCATAGTGACACCTTTCTTACTAGAATACTAAGAACTGATTTCATTGTCCACCCAATATGTTTAAGTGATGATCTTTAAGTAGAAAAATTTTAAGTTTATTGAAACAACTTAGCTATGTAAACTTATTTTCTAGATATTACTCTTACAAAATCTAAATATAGGGCAGTTATAGCTGATAAAATTCAATTTGCACGTTGAGATTGTGTTATAAATGGAAAGTACAAAGTGAATATCTGGAATTCAGTACCAAAAACAAAAAGCTAATTAACATAAATTAATAAGATAACTTACTAATTTAACAGTGTACTCTAAAAAGAGGAGGTTGCATATTCCTTGCCCCACCTAATGAAGGATGCAGCTGAGCAATGAATTTTATTAATTAATAAAATTAATAAGATAACTTATTAGCATAACAGTGTACTCTAAAAAGAGGGGCTTGCATATTCCTTGCTCCACCTAATGAAGGATGCAGCTGAGCAGTGTGGGAAAGATAAAAAGGAGACTTGGAAGAGGAGTAAGGGGTAGAAGATCTGGAGGAGGCCTGTGGAGCAGAGAAGCATATGAAGAACTCACACTTGCTTCTTGGCCTTGAACTTTCACCAGGGACTTGGGGGACAAGGAAAGAGAAACTTGAAAGAGATGTGGGTGAGAGATCCATGGGGAAGCTGTGAATGGCAGCCTTTATCTTAACTTTTCCTTCTATACTTGCCTGGCTCCTTCTGCCCCTTTCCTATGCATCCCCACCAGAAGGTGCCTTAGACTTGTGGCAGGTTTTTGGGCCAATCCTCTTTGGCTGGACATTTACCCATGAGGGGATGGGTAACTATGGGTGTTTCATTTGGAAGCATTGAGACTTTAACCCCTGTGTCACCAGGGATAAAATTCTATAGTCTTTCTTTTTTCTTTATTGCATGCTAATTCCACTAAAGTTTGTTTGCTTGTTTGTTTGTTTTTTACTGGTGTTCTTATACACTAAGAGTATCTTTTGTCTTTATGGAGCAGATGGCAAAATCTATTTAGAGTGTGCATGTTTGGAAGTTGCAGGGTGCCCCCTAGTCTGACTGCTAACTAAAACAGAGATAATAATATCTTTTTTTAAAAAAATATTTATTTATTTATTTATACAAGCACTGGGTACAGTCAGAAGCGCGGAAGGGTAAGAGAATTCACCAGAGCCAGAGCTGGGAGCAGAACAGACAGATTGATTAAGTACACTGCTGAGGGGAGCAGTGGGCACGGCAGGAGAGGTCTGTGCACCATGTGGGACCCTCGGTGGCAGCCAGGGATAGAACCGGCGCTGCAGAGGCTGCGGGCAGCCTCACAGCCCAGCGCTCAACTGCTGCACCACCAGGGGAGGTCCAAAAATAATAATATCTTAATGGGTTAAACATACTATTAAATAAATTTCACCTTTTTTTTAGCTTTTGTTATATGCCTTCTAAACACACGTTAAGATTCCATAATATAGACTACTTGATGCTACTTGGATAGTGCTCAACAAGCTATGAATAAAAATAAACCCCACAGCAAACACATTCTCTCTCTCTCTCTCTTTCTCTCTCTCTCTCTCTCTCACACACACACCAATGAAGTAAATTACAATAAATGAAATAGGCATGAGAAGACATGAATATCAGCATCATTATTATTATATCACAATTGAACTACTAAGTCACATGGGAATCATAACATTGGATTAAATTTATACTCATTAGGATGATTCTGATTTTATTACTAACATGTTTTATTACCAACAAATGGATGGTATTATGGTAGGATCTCTGAAATATGCTGGCCTGTAAACAACTTCGCCACCAAGGCCTACCAGTAGTTGCTGACACATCCCTGGCCCCACTCTTTTTGATAATACCTGGAGGATTTTCACAACATACCATTCTATGTCTCTCCTCTTCTAGAACCTGTCAGAGGTCAGGGAAACATTTTCTTCAAATCTCATGTTCTATGTGCTGCTTCCAATTCTGGGAGTGAAATTTCTCCCTAGGGTTCAAGTAAGATCTTCAAAACTACAGGAATTAGGAAAAAGAATGAGGTTTGCTGGGCTACAGGTATCAAGAAGTGCCATTGATTTCTGGATAGAATTAAAGAAGACAATGCAGGTCTGAGTAGGTATGTTTTCTGTGATTCAACTTGTAAATGTCTGTAACTTGGTGTGTGTGGGTAACACTTCTAATGCATTCGATAATGTCATCCATTCATTTAATCATGATTTGTTAAGGAGTGCCAATAGGGAAATGAACATTAAAAGGACAAGGGGATATGAGCCCAGAGCTGTCAGAGGAGCTAAAATAAAATATATCAAGGGCCTCCCCGGTGGCGCAGCGGTTGAGCGCTGGGTTGCGAAGCTGCCCGCAGCCTCTGCAGTATCGGTTCAATCCCCGGCTGCTCCCCGGCCACCGGAGGAGGGTCCCACATGGCGCGCAGACCTCTCCTGCCGCCCGCTGCTCCCCTCAGCAGTTACTTCGGTCCTTCTGCCTGCTCTGCTCCCCGCTCTGGCTCTGGTGAATTCTCTCACCCTCCCGCGCTTCTGACTGTACCCAGTGCATGTATAAACAAAAAACAAACAAACAAAGAAATAAATAAAACATGCCTCTAAAAAAATATATATATATATCAACAGCAGAAGAACTGGAGAAGATGTATTCAAACATTGTTGATGGGGAACGTAAAATGATACAGTCATGCCAATAAGGTTTAATAGTTTCTAACAAAACATACAGGATGACAGAGCAGGAGATTCCATCTGTCTTTCCACAGAAAAATTTTAAAAACCAACCAAACAAACAATAATTAGCCATTTACAAATGGAAAAAGATCTGTGATCACAGGATTCCAGATAACTTCTAACATGAGATGAGAATAACTTCACAGAAAAGGTAAGAACAGTTTTCACTTTTTCCGCATCACTCCACTCTCCATATCCACACAGCTCAGCAACAATTCATGTTTCCTTATTCTTTGAAATACAAGCAGCCTTTGAATTATGTGAATTATTTTCTCTAAGTCCACAGGCCTGTCTTAATAAATCTCAAATATCAGGTCGTCTTCTTGAGATGAGGCCCTGGTCTTCTGCTCCAGATCCTAGAGATTGAATGAGACCAACCTTCCTTCCCTCAAAGGAGAGAAAAAGCCTCAAGTCAACCTGGCACTTTTTTTTTTTTAAGATTTATTTATTCATGCATACAAGAATCAGGGTACAGGCCAGATGTGCGGGAGGGTGAGAGGATTCACGAGAGACAGAGTGGGGAGCAGAGCAGGCAGACAGACTGAAGAACACTGCTGAGGGGAGCAGCAGGCTAGACTGGAGAGGTCTGCCGCTCCGTGTGGGCTTCTCACTGCCCAGCGGGATTGAACCCGCATTGCAGAGGCTGTGGACAGCTTCACAGAGCTGCACTCAACTGCCTGCACCACCAGGGGAGGCCCCAAACCTGGCACTTTTTAAGAAGAGCTACTATGCCCTGATTATTCATGACAACTACTTGAGATCTTTAGAATGTTGCCACTCAGATCGAAACTTTATCATTAAGTGATTCTCTGGGAAGGGTCCCTCTTTAGGACAGCAAAACTCAATCCAGGTAGTTCTACTCTGCACTTGGGTGCGACTCTCAGTAACTCAAGTCCCCATCACCCCAGTCACAATGAGTTGGGAATGGACCAAGTAAGGCCCTGACTGAGACACAGTTCATGGAAGAGTCACAACACCCCTTTCAGGTAGATCTCAGCCCAGGTTGCATGGGACAATCACAAAAAGAGGTTTTCACAAACAAAAAGACAGAAGCCATGGTTTCACTGAGTTTCTAGAGAGTGAAAAACTAGACTTGATCTGCATGTTTTGTCTAAATGTACAAAATATTAGTCAATGTTGAGGAAAGAATAACAAGGAAGCAGCTTTGAGGGTGTCTCTGTCAGGGATGGCTTTACCTATCCAGAGAAACATTGAAATCTGTGAGGGAACAACCGTGGGGGGAGATAGAGAGGAGCAACCAACACAGAAATAACAAAGACCCAGAAGCAAAAATGTCCACAATGTATTATGTAATGAAATGTTGAGGGTGGCAATAGCCTGGATCTGGAATGGAAAATCATCTTGACCTGAAGCTGTCTCACATAAGTGTGATGGATGCCTGACCCAGTATGTCACAGAAATATTTAACTGCATGTTGAGAACATTGTGAGCTTCCTCAAGTGATTTTTGCCCATGAAACGATTCTTAGTATCTAGACCATTTTAATAGCAGCATGAGTTAAAAGCCAGTTATAGTCTCATATTTAGAAGTGAAGATTAAAGTATTTCTGCTGGAACAGCAGATATCAATGGAAGAGAAAAAGAACTTGGGAATTACGCTTGTATTGCTGCCTTGGAAATAGCCTAAAAGCAGTTGCTGCATTCAGTTGACACTAAGACATGACTACATGCAGGGTAGATATTCTGAGTTGATGCTCCTGGTAGACATGTAGATGAAAGTGTCTTGGTTATACTTGCTACCCCAAACTGAAGGGCTCCATCCCGGAGAGGATAATGAGGGTTTATATTAGCTTGTGGGAAGGGAAAGATGGTCAGATTTTGTCTTAGATCAATTTTGAGTTTAGAAGAGGTTTAAAGTCAGGAGAAAAAAAAAAGTCGGGAGAACACATTATTATTTTTTTTTAAATAATAAATTTTATTTTTATATTCCCCATACAATTGCAACCCCCCCATTCCTTGACTGTAATCATATAAGTGTGTTTATTATTTTGTGGAGAGATTTCTGCTATGGCAGGAGGTTTTGTTTTTATTACATCTCCCCACACAGTAAGTGAATATCAATCACTGAGCTAGAGGGAAGCTCAGGGCCTCAGTGGTAGAAGCCTCCCTCTTGCTATGCAGAAGCCCAGGACTCCATGGATAGGAGAGCAAACCACCTTTTGGTGCAGTTTCAGGGAGAGCAGAGATCCCTGG